TCCAACCATTTTGAGATTACTTTATTGCACTGTAAGACTCATTTTTTGTCAGTCGGATGTCTAAACATATTACCACAGATTTTTAGCAAGGTTACTGGTCGGCTAAATGTCAATGATGACCTCATAGTTTAGCGCAGTTCTCAGTTTCCTATTGGCAGGCTCCGTGCGCTCGAGCTGTTTGATTGAGACACGAGTTTCCCAAAAGGCAGCAGGTCAGATAAGATTCTTGTTTCAACCGATCCAAACAGCCACGCTTAGTGAAAAATGAAAAAGTGCTTGCTTGCACATTATCATTCACTGAAGGGGCAGTTGTGGCCTAATGGTTGGAGAGTTGGACTTGTAACCTAAAGGTTGCAGGTTTGAGTCTTGGTATCAGCAGGTATTGTAGGTGGGGGGAGTGAATGTACAGTGCTCTCTTCCACCCAACTGCTCCCTGGGCAGCCCACTGCTCCGGGTGTGTGTTCACTACTCACTGCTGTGTGTGTGCACTTGTATGGGTGAAATGCAGAGCACAAATTTTGAGTATGGGACACCATAATTGGCCACACGTCACTTTCACTGAAACTTTACACAGGCAGTAAAATTTAAATCAGATTTTTTTTTTAATGAAAGAGATAAATTACCTGCACTCTACCAACTAAAGGTGCAAATATCCATGAGCATCAATAATAACAAATGAAAAATTTTAATTAACTGCTCTTATTTTTCTTAATATTTTTATATATAATTTTATTATACTTCTCAGTGAGAAGGTGTGTTCTCTGACCTGTGAGAAGTATAAATACAATAAATAAATATTATATGTTAGTAGAATATTCTGGGTGGTTGCTAGGGACTTGCTGTGCATTTGGTAGGGTTGTTGCTAGGGAGTTGCTATGCAACTGGTAGAATGTTCCGCGTTGTTGCCAGGGTTTTTTTATGCAATTTGTAGGATGTTCTAGGTGGTTGAAAGGATGTTGCTATGCAGTTTTTTTATAACGTTTTAAGGGGTATTAGGGTGTTGCTATGAAACTAGTAGAATATTCTGGGTGGTTGCTAGGGAGTTGCTGTGCATTTGGTAGAACGTTCTGGTTGGTTGCTAGAGTGTTGCTATTCAACTGGTAGAATGTTTTGGGTGTTTACCCGCGTTTTGCTATTTTTTTTTTAATGAAAGAGATAAATTACCTGCACTCTACCAACTAAAGGTGCAAATATCCATGAGCATCAATAATAACAAATGAAAAATTTTAATTAACTGCTCTTATTTTTCTTAATATTTTTATATATAATTTTATTATACTTCTCAGTGAGAAGGTGTGTTCTCTGACCTGTGAGAAGTATAAATACAATAAATAAATATTATATGTATTTTCTTTTAGGGTTATACATTATATATATGCATTTGGTAGGGTTGTTGCTAGGGAGTTGCTATGCAACTGGTAGAATGTTCCGCGTTGTTGCCAGGGTTTTTTTATGCAATTTGTAGGATGTTCTAGGTGGTTGAAAGGATGTTGCTATGCAGTTTTTTTATAACGTTTTAAGGGGTATTAGGGTGTTGCTATGAAACTAGTAGAATATTCTGGGTGGTTGCTAGGGAGTTGCTGTGCATTTGGTAGAACGTTCTGGTTGGTTGCTAGAGTGTTGCTATTCAACTGGTAGAATGTTTTGGGTGTTTACCCGAGTTTTGCTATGTAATTTGTAGGATATTCTGGGTGGTTGATAGGATGTTGCTATACAATTCGTAAAATGGTTTGGGTGGTTGCCAGGGTTTTGCTATGCCATGTGTAGGATGTTCTGGCTGGTTGATAGGATAATACTATGCAATTTTGTGGAATGTTTTGGGGGGTTACTAGGGTGTTGTTATGCGATTGGTACAATGTTCTGGTTGGTTGCTAGAGTGTTGCTATGCAATTGGTAGGATATTTTGAGTGTTTGCCAGCATTTTGCTGTGCAATTGATATGGTGTTCTGGATGGTTTCTAGGGTGTTGCTGTGCTAATGATTAGTAATCAAAGTTCAAAGGGACCACAAATCTAATATCTGTGATATTCTGGTCTTTATTTCAATGTGAATCTAGATTTTTCTTGCCCATTTTATAGTCTGCCAGGTGAAAATTGTAAGTTTGGTCACTTTCTTTAACAGGGATCATTCATGCAGCGATTTTTCAAATTCCTAACCTCAAGTCTGACTATACCTGCTTTCAGAGGGCATGCAAAATTAGATACGTTGGATGTTTAATCCTGTTATAATTTGCTTTACAAAAGAATTATGCATGAGGTTACTCATGGACATTTTATTGGTTAAATTAAAACAATCAAATAATTATAGAGCCTTTAAATTTAAGTTCTGGGAACTTCTGAATTTGAATGCTGCAACTTCTTTTGGGAAGATCGCATACATTTGACCAGAGACTGTGTGTGTGTGTGTGTGTGTGTGTGTGTGTGTGTGTGTGTGTGCGTGCGTGTGTGTGTCTGACAAGGAACAGGACGCACCATTCATCAGTGTCAGCAAGAGACAATCAGAATCCCACATTCCGCTCGTCCGACCGACGGCCCTGATTGAGGGCTCCTCTGCTGAGCTATGCTGATGGTGTCGATATGTCCTGGAGCCCGTCGGGGAAGGTAGAGGGGTGGTACGTTATCTCCTCAGATGTTACTCACAGGGGGAGATCAAAAGGAAGGGTTGAGATGAAGGAGAGTTAGGGCTGTAGAAGCGCCTGCTCGTCGACTGGCACGCTTGGCTCCACTGGCTGTCAATTCGGTTGTCTAAATGCTTCATCAGTGGCATGGAACAATCACATGTGAGCACACTGCTTTTCTGAATTGAAATGGGTGCTGCTTTGATTTTATTAATTTCACTGCAAACATTGGTTTTGGTATTTCTGTCCTGATTTTCCATACAAATATCTACACATCCTTAAAACAAAATACATTTACTTGAGATGCAAAATTGTTTAGCATAAAACCATTTGATTACGAATTAAGACTATATCTGAGCTCATTGTCTCATTGGGCTCATTTTTTTCACTAAATTTAGCTTGTTTTATATGATTTAAGACCAAAACAAAGACAAAATGTAGCAAATGGAGTAACAAAAATGATGTGAAGTCTTAATTTACAAAATAATTTCAATTTAGACAAAAATTAAAGCTGCATTCTATAACTTGTTTTGGTTAAAAAGTATCCAAAAACAATTATTGAGCAAGTACATAACCAATCAGTGTTCCAAACTATCTCCTGACCATAGTTCACAACGGTAAGCTTGTAATAATGTTTTCTAATTTGAGTGGTTCAGGTCGTTCGTCTTTGCGTCATTACATCATGTCTGTATGCATAAAGGAGGAGTCCCGGCTAGTAGGCTCTATCGCGTGTGTGGATGCTGCAGGCGGCGGATCATTTGTAGCCTCTTCTTACAGCAGCTGGAATAAATAAAGTTATGTTAAGTTATGTGATCTGAGCTAACTTTGCGATCGTTAGATTGGTAGCGCAAATTATTTTTTTTTTTCAGTTGGTCAGAACAAAATTGGCAGACATGTTGCGTACTTGTTCAGATGACATTTTCCGGTTAAACTTCATATTTTGGACATACTTCCAAGACGTAGTATCTAATTCTGAAGTACAGTGAGTGAATATCCACACTGGTGCGTTGACTGACAGCCAACACATACACCTCAAAACATTAGATTCATCTGCGCTGAGGAGCCGTGCCGATGCACAACCCACATAAACAAGATAATTCCGCAAATAACTGCAATTGCAGGTTTCAAACAGAGATGGTGACAAAGAGGCAAAACTTACGGACTGCAGCTTTAAATGTTTAATCTGAACAATCTGTAAATAACGCTTCCAATGTACTTAGCTTTTAGAGTCTCATTTGTTGCACATACATTTTTAAACTGTTATGCAACACAGATTTTTCAAAAAAAAAAAGTACAAAATAAACAATATGAGATTTTGTAATAAATACAGTTGTTTAGACAAAGAAGTATATTAAGAGTACAGTCACTTCAAAACTCTTGGCTTTCTTCCTGAGATATTGACAAAGTTTTTTTTTGGTCACTGCTATAAAGAAAACAGTATACATTTTAGATAATTGACAATGATACATATAAAACAATTCTTCTAGGACTGTTCAGAGGCATTCTCACGGAACTGCAACATTGATCATGTATATTGCACGTTTGCATCTAGAAAGGTCGGAGGTCTTTGGATCAGTCGTGAAGGATATTTTCCATGTAGGGGGAGATCTTTGAACCTTATCTTGTGTAGTAACTCCTGCAATGTTTATATTATTTCTTATTACATTACATTATCTTGACTTCTCAAATCCATCATGCTCAGGTTTTATGATGTGTGGGAGTACATCTTTGGTTGCTATCTTGTATAGTCAGCATTGAGTAAGCCCGTAGCCCTGAATGATGAATGTGGGTTTTTCTCCTTTTTTTTTAAAAGCTAATGGATGCAATGGTTTTAGGCATCTGTCATTTAGAGCTGGCACAATCATAGGTCAAATCTCAGGTAAGAATATTACATAAAATTAATGTGTGAAATTATGCTGTTCTCTGACCTTACCAGCTGTCGTCTTATCAAAAAATCATGTGTAATTCTGACAATTATAAAACAGATAAAACCGAACATGAGAAAAAATAAAACATATTGCATAGGGCCCTAAAACCATTTTTTTTTTGTTAAACTTTTAATGAATTGATGTTAAATTGTATAAGTTTCATGATTTTACTTTACTTTAATTTAACCATTAAAAAAGGAGTCAATTAAAACAAAAAACAGAATCTGGAAAAATTGGAAAAAATTGAATTTGGAAAAAATAAAACAGAATTTTTTTGGGGAAAAAAACAGATTTTATAGGGCCCTACTTATTTACCCCTAAAGAGTGCATATTAGTACCTTAAAAGTGCATATAATTATATCTTTTGACAAGGTACCGCTGCAGTGACAGCTTTTGTACCTTTGAACAGATCAGATTTGAACAGATGATCAGAATATCCTGTCATTTTCTGTGTAGGTTCAGGTTGTGAGGTGGGGTCTTTCCGTTGTGGGACAGGCCGTTGTATTCCAGCAAGCCAGAGGTGCGATGGAACAACCGACTGTTCGGATAACTCAGATGAATTTGGCTGCCGTAAGTAACTCTTCCTCCACAGTCACAAGGTCACACTTGAACGCTGATAAAGAGTGGCAAGTGTGAAATACAGCTGTTCAGTTTGTAATATGTAAACCCAGAGCAGCATCAGCACTGGCCATGTGTTCCCTCGGGAATTTGAAATGAGTTTTTAGAATTGTAGTTTTTGGCTTACTAGCATCATTTTTTTTACCTAAAAGTCTTATTTTTATACACCATTTTGGGTTTTAGAAACAAGTTTCTTACCAGTTTTAGGGCTGTTTTCATGCATTCATACCAGATGTATTCAATAAATAAATTCCTGTGTAAAACTGGCTAGCTTTCTATGGACAGCAAATCTCTGGAAATCATGGCATTGCCAAAATATAGAGTGGCATAGACCAAAAGAGTTTTGAGAGGTGAAAACCTACAAATCTCAGGTGACTGTCACAGCAGTCCAGAAGGAAAGATTAAAAATTAAGAAGTTAAAAGGTCATGCGAGGCACATTGCATTGTGGTATACAAAACCCAATGCAGTTTTCACTGCTGTATACTGCATATTTTGATAAATTTAGTAGGTATTTTGTGCATAATGAAAGGTACACTGCAAAAAATTATATGCTCAGTATTTGTCATGTTACAAATATCTAAAAATTCTTAAATCAAGATACATTGAGAAGCAAAATGACTGAAGATATTGAATTTTGTTTTCTGAAAAAAAGTGTTTTTGCTTAAAACAAGAAAAATGTCTATTAGTGGGGTAAGAAAAATAATCCCATTTTACCTTAAGTTTTATTTTACATAGCTCACAGACATATTTTTCTTGTTTAGTAACAATCAAAAATCACTTAATTTTGATTGTTTTTTTTTTTTTTCAGAAAACAAGACTTCAATAGTTTCAGTCATTTTGCTTCTCGAGTAAATTTAAGAATGTTTAGATATTTTACTGGAAAACAAAACAAAAATACTAGCATACTGCATATACTGTATACTTCAGAAAAAGTATTGGTTGTATGCTATTTCAAACAAGTTTGGACCAATAAATGAAGAAAATAGTTTTTTAAAAGATCATGTGGCATATTTATTTCAGTATAGCCACGTCACTTCTTAAATTCCTCCTCTTATGGAGTCAGTCAAGGAGCTCTTTGAAAGGAAACTCTTAGAGCAGGCCAGCTCAGATCTCTTCTAGCTTGGTTAACAATGCTGTCTTATTATGCTCTTCAAGCCGAGCCCACCTGCGAGAGTGCTCAGTTCCAGTGCTTGAGTGACGGCGAGTGCATTCCGCAGCACTGGGTCTGCGATGATGAAGAGGATTGCGAGGATGGCTCCGATGAAAGGCAGCACTGCCGTGAGTACTCCTTATCTCCATCAGTCCGTCTCTCCCTCGCTTTCTGCTTCCATTTCAATTACGACTGTCCGTCAGAGCTGAGAGCTCCATTGACTCCCAGTAATGTACAGGGATGTAATTTCCGTCATGTCAGAGAAACACGATATCTCAGATGTGCAGGCAACAGTCTGAAAAACATAAGGCAAAGCGTGCATGTGTTGTAGGGAGAGCATGCCACTTTAGTGAAGATGAGGACCACCCAGCGCACTCATATTATAACCATGTGTCTTTGATCTTTGCTGGCAGCTGGCAGGACATGCTCCAGTTCACAGTTCACCTGTACGAATGGGGCCTGCATCCCGGGAGGATACAGGTGCGACCATGTGCCTGACTGTCTAGACGGAGCAGATGAGAGAAACTGCCGTAAGTATGCTGTCGGGATGTGTGTGATGGGATTAAAGCTGGGCAGTATAGCTAAATACTGACAGTATATTTAAGGTCATATATGGATATTTAATGTACCATTCAAAAGTTTGGGGTCAGTAAGATTTTTTTATGTTTTTGAAGTATCTTATGACAACCAAGGCTGCATTTATTTGATTAAAAAAGACATAAATTGTTACAATTTAAAATAGCTGTTTTCTATTTGAATATATTGTAAAATGTTATTTATTCCTGTGATGCAAAGATGAATTTTCAGCATCATTACTCCAGTCTTCAGTGTCACATGATCCTTCAGAAATCATTCTAATATACTGATTTGCTGCTCAAGAAACATTTCTTATTATTATCAATGCTGAAAATAGTCATGCTGCTTAATAATATTGTGGAAACTGTAACAATTTCTTCAGGATTCTTTGATGGATAGAAGTTCAAACAAACTAAAGCCATAAAAGAACATTTTCGTTTAAAATAAAATAAATGTAACTGAAATAAAATGTATTTTTTTATTTTATTTATTTTTATGTTTTTATTCTAGCTACTTGCCAAAGCAAAATTTCTCATTTTCATTTCTTATTTCTCATTTTCATTTTCTCGTTTTCATACTAAAATGACTAAAACTGAAATAAAATTTGTTAAAAACTATACAGACATATTTTTATAAAACAATACCTAATAAAAATGACAAAGACACAACTAAATTACTAAAACTTTAACTAAAATTTTAATGAAAACAGAAAATACAAACGAATTAAATCTAATTCAAAATAACTATATAATAACTATGCAACTGTATAACTTCAAAAACTATAATAGTATCTCAGAAATAATAAAATAACTGCTTACGGCTACAATTTTTCATTAAATGAATAAATATAAGATTGCTGTTTAATAATTTTCAATATCATGCATCATTAGTTTTGAATCAACTGTGAATTATTTTGAACCGATTCACAGTTTTGAATCAAATTGACCAATTCTGTTGCTGTTTTTTAATGCAGTTTAAAGGGGTCATATGATGTTGCCAAAAAGAACATTATTTTTTGTACTTGGTGTAATGAAATGTGTTTATGCGGTTTAAGGTTAAAAAAACACATTATTTTCCACATACTGTACATTATTGTTTCTCCTCTATGCCCCGCCTTTCTGAAACGCGTCGATTTTTACAAAGCTCATCGGTCTGAAAGCGAGGTGTGCTCTGATTGGCCAGCTATCCAGTACGTTGTGATTGGCCGAATACCTCAAGCGTGTGACGGCAATGTTACGCCCCAGACAAAACATTAAAACCCATTATAAACGAGGCATTTGTTGCATCCAGTGGGGAAATGATTACGGATTATAATGACTTATACTGTCTTTTTACGCGTTGCGTTGCATCGCGCCGCGTAAACACAAAACCATGTCTGCATTTGTGATCGGAGAAATGACAAACAACAAGCACTACTCTACACTGCTGAAAACTCGCGTTTGAATCATCAGTGGCAAATCCTTTAAATATGAAAACGTACTTACAGGCTGTGCAAATCTTCCCACATCGTGACGTAGACATGTGGGGGCGTGTTAGAACGAGCCATTTTAGGTAGGCGTGGTTGACTCTTAACTTTTATAAAGAATATCTCTTTGGACTTGAGACTTTAGTCTTTGCAACTTTACAGATCTTCTTTATGCACCAAGAGCTTGTAACACTCCAAAGAGAAAGGAAAAATTGAAATCGCATCATATGACCCCTTTAAATCAGATGTCAAAGTGAAATCGAATTAGAGTCTATTCACTTTATAAATTCACATCAAACCCATTGCAACCCTTCTCCTTTAACTACCTGACTCCATTCTGGTATGCTTTTTAAGATCCAGCCAATTCCCAATGGTTAAACTCATGTCCTTGTTCCTTAAATATCCTATTTCATGCGGAAATGCATTGGGTTAAGGATGCAGAACGGTCACAACGTTGCATTGCATTTCATGAATTTAACGCTCTCATACTTGCACTAGTCAAACAACATTTAAATATCATAAAGTGCATAAACATCATAGCAATATATTGTAAATATATCATGAATATTTGATATATCGCCCAGCCCTAGATAGTGTGTGTGTGTGTGTGTGTGTGTGTGTTTTCTCCCCCTCAAAGGCTCCTGTGGCATTTTAATCAGTTTGTAAGATTAAGAGTCTCGCTGATGGACAGAAATGGCCACAATATGCTTCTTGTTTGTCAGAGTTGATTGCAGATTCCTCTGTGGATTAGTGCTAGTGTCAGTTCATCACTGAGCTCTTATCACACACTGCTTTACCCTACCAGACTTGCTATGCACATAATGGGCATTTGGCTGCAGAAGTTTGTGTTTGTTTTCTACATTAGCTTTATGCTGTTTCTTTACTTGCATCACTCGATGCCGTACCGCAGTGGACGCTGTATTGTATTACAGAGTGATTATATTTTATTGAATGACTGGACGTGCTCTCTTTTTCTCAGTGTACCCAGAGTGCTCGGAGCTGAGGTGTGCTAACGGGGCGTGTTATAACAGGAGCCAGCGCTGTGACCAGGTGCTCAACTGCCGAGACGGCTCAGACGAAGCCAATTGCAGTGAGTGTATTTCCCTGGCAGGACACACACATTAACACAATCATCTACTGGATGGCCTGGAAAACATCTGCGCTACTTTTGCAATTGCAAGATTTTGAAGCTATAATGTTTAGTCATGTGACTTTTTGTCTGTTTGATTACACTTTTAAAAATAAAAGTTTTTATTGGCATCTACGATTCCATGAAGAACCTTTAACATTAATTGTTTCCATTGGACAAAGGGTTCTTTATAGCGTAAAAAAGTTCTATAGATTTTTAAAAAGTTCTTCACACCAAGAAAAAAAAATGGTTCTTTCAAGAACTGCCCGTTAAAAAGTTTCTTCGGGGAATCAAAATAGTTCCTCTATGGCATCACTGTGAAAACCCCCTTTTGGAACCTTTATTTTTTACTATAATATATAGTTTTTGTTACTCATACTCATGTTGCTCTGTTATTTGTAATATTATTTATATATTCAATATTTTGAACTTTAACTTTTTAATTTCAGTTTAAATTTGAGAAATTCGGTTATGTGCTTTTGTTTTTAGAATTTAAAAAAAAACCATTTAGGTCTAAATGGATTTTTTTTTATTTCAGTTTTAGTTTTTATTTTTTTTTTCAATTAATTATTTGTTTAAGTTTTTAATTTGATATGTATATTTTATTTTATTTGATATCAATTAACATTTTTTTTTTTTCTGGTTAATAATAACCCTGATTTGGTGAAACACAAAATAAGATATTAGGCAGAATGTTCAAGCTGCTTTTTTCCATACAATGAAAGTGGATGGTGATTTATAAACACCATAGCTCATAAAACACCATAAAAGTACCCTAAAACTATCAATAAATGTAGTATATGTGACTTTAGTGCTATATTTCAAGTGTTATTAAGCCATTTCATAGTTCATCAAGCAAGTTTAATTCATTGTTCACTGATTATCCCATTTGCAGTCTCATTTTTTGTCACGATTCGTCACATCATACAAAAACCGATGCCATTGGCATCAGTGATGTCAAACCTGGTGCAATATGTCCAAAAGTGTCATTTGTGAATTGAAAACAAATCTTTTTTATTGCTTTATATTTGTAATATAGTGTTCAAATTGGAAGAAAGAAAATAATAGAGTCAGAACAACATGAGGGTGAATAAACAATGATTAAAAATTCATTTCTGGCTCTACTATTCCTTATTATACTGTATTGTATGCTGCATTTTATTTTGATATTCACCCTTTTTCCATCCTTTGGTGTGGTGAAAACATACCAAGTATAGTTATCTTCAGCTTTATTTAACTTTTATGAAATTGTGTCGTGGATAGACATATTTCTTGTTTGTTTTCAGCCCAGCGGTGCAGCGGCGGTCAGTTTCAGTGCAGTAATGGAGAATGTATTCCTCGCGGATACGTCTGCGATCATGACGATGATTGTGGAGACAGAAGTGATGAACAGAACTGCAGTATGTATATTTCATTCCACAGTTTCTCAAATGCGATCATAAAGAATGTAAAAAGGTATCTTAGAAAAGCCTTTTACTCGGGTGTGAACGTTCACTAATGCATTATCTACAGCCTACCCAACCTGCAGAGGAACGTACTTCACCTGTCCCAGCGGCCGCTGCATTCATCAGGTCTGGCTGTGTGATGGAGAGGATGACTGCGAGGACAATGCAGATGAGAGAGGCTGCGGTACATCCTTAAAATGACCTTCTTCCTGCTAAATATTGCAAAAGCCAGGCTTCCGATTGATTGTTTTTCAGAACATGAAAGTCTCTTGAGTGACCTGAGCTGAAATGGTGTTTTTTGTGTGTTGCGTTTAGATAATGTCCAGCGTGAGTGTTATCCCGGGGAATGGCCGTGTCCTTCTTCTGGTGTTTGCATCCCTCTGGACCATCTCTGTGATGGGACGGCACACTGTCCGGACGGAGAAGATGAAACCAATACCACTGCCGGACGCAACTGCAGTCAGTTACCACCTAAAAATCACTAAAGCTGATTTCTGCCAGTGTTGTTTAAGTATTATTTATATACTATTATATTATTAAATCATATTTTTATATTTTCAGTTTTTATTTTGTGATTTAAGTTTATTATGTGCTTTTGTCATTTTTATTTATTTCTGTTTTTTTATATTTATGTATAGCTTTAATTTATTTTATTTTATTTCAGTTTTAGTTCTTAAAACTTATTTTATTTCAGTTAGTTGCCAGGCCACATTTATAATTTTCTAAAGTTAACGTAAATATTTTATATTTATTTATAAAATATTTTTATTTTATTTTCAGTATTATTTCTATTACTTAAAATGTTTTTTATAGGCTGAAAAAAAATTGGTCTAGCCTTTTAAAATTTTTTCACCTTTTTCACTTTTAAATTTTCAGTTTACATTTAAATTTTTGTTTAAATGTTAATAATGTTGTTAGGTGCTTTTGTCATTTGTATTTTTATATCACTATTTTATTTCAGTTTTAGTTTTTGTTCAGCTTTAGTTTTTTTATTTTCAATTAATAATTTAGGTTTAAGTTTTTCATCTAATAATTATCTTATATTTCAGTTTTATTGCTATTGACAATTACAAAATGTTTTTAATAGTTTTGGTTAACTTATTTTTAATATTTCTATAAAACTTTGTTTAATTTCAGTTTTAGTAATTTTAGTACTTAAATTCTTCTATTTTTTATTTATGTTTTTGAATTTTTCATGTAATATTTATAATTTATTTTATTTCAGCTGTATTTCTATTACTGTTAAATGATTATTAATACACTGAAAAAAAATGATGTGGAAACAATTTTTCACTCAAAAATTGCTAGTAAATTTCACAAATAATTAAAAATAAACAGCAAGTAACACATCGAATTAAATGTGAAAATTTGGAGTAAAAAGAATGAAATAGTATTTTCTTGTAAAAAAAAATACTGCTATAATCCTTATTTAGAACTACAAAAAATATTTTATAGTGTAATAATTTTAGTTTTCTAGTCTTAGTTTTTTGTTTATCATTTATTGTGATGTTAATCTGCCAAAATTCTTGTGTTTGCTTGATATTATAGTTACATTTTTGGTTTCGCCTAAGGTTTTCCTAACATTTCGAGTGCTGTATGGCTGTGTTTTGTGCCAGGTATCTGGCGCTGTGCATCTCTGAGCTGTGAGCATCACTGTCACGCCTCTCCTGAAGGAGGAACCTGTGCCTGTCCACCAGGATACATGGTCAGCAGAAACGACAGCCGCTCATGCATTGGTAAAACACTTGATTGATGATTACAAATAGTTGCTCATATTCAATCAAACTGGTGACTTGCCATCAGCTCTCCCTGTACTCTGTGCACATCTTTGCAGATTATGATGACTGTAGTCTGTGGGGCATGTGTGACCAGCTGTGTGAGGATCGGATCGGAAGCCATCGCTGCAGCTGTCGGGACGGTTACCTTCTGGAGCAGCACAGATACTGCAGAGCAAATCCCTCATGTGAGTCCATTCAGGCCTCTAACATGCTGCCTGTGTGTATGGAGAAGGTGTTTGATGAAGGGCTGCAATAGATTCATTCGTTTCAGCTCAATTCAAGTTGATTCGTATAGCGCTTTTCACAATACGTTTCAAAACAGCTTTACAGGGCATGCATTTTTCAATGTTACAATCAGAAAGTATTCTGTTATTCTGCTAAATTTCACAGTTAATTAGAAAGAAATGGCAAGTAACACAATGAATAAGACATTTTGAAGTAGAAAGACAGTGGTAGAAAATAGTATGTATGTTTCTTGTAAAACATACTCCAATTTACATCCTCGAAAAATTATTTTTTACAGTGTGGTTAGAAAACCTCATGTATTCCAATTAAACAGACAAAATGAACCTATTTAAAACATTTTCTGATAAGAAAAATCATATTAGATTAATTAATATTCTTTTTAAATATTTTTTTCACAGGTTTACACATTTTGTATTTATTTACTCAATATCTCATAAGAAATCATATTAAATTAATTAATATTTATTTAAAATTTTTATTTTATTTTACACAGGTTAACTAGTATTTTTTAAATTGTATTTATTTAATCATACTTTTTCCCATAGTGAACCATATTAAATTAATATTTATTTTAAATAAATTTTACACAGATTTACACATTTTTAAATTGTATTTATTTACTCAGTGTCCTTTTTTTCTCATTAATTATATCAAATTAATTAATATTTATTTTAAATATATTTTACACAACTGTATTTATTTATTCATTATTTGTTTTAATTTTTTTCTGTTACTTCTGCATTATATTTTCCTGCATGCTTTCACACAAGTATCATGGCTTTGAGAACCTATTTAAAACATTTTCTGATAAGAAAAATCATATTAGATTAATATTCTTTTTTTCACAGGTTTACACATTTTGTATTTATTTACTCAATATCTCATAAGAAATCATATTAAATTAATTAATATTTATTTAAAATTTTTATTTTATTTTACACAGGTTAACTAGTATTTTTTAAATTGTATTTATTTAATCATACTTTTTCCCATAGTGAACCATATTAAATTAATATTTATTTTAAATAAATTTTACACAGATTTACACATTTTTAAATTGTATTTATTTACTCAGTGTCCTTTTTTTCTCATTAATTATATCAAATTAATTAATATTTATTTTAAATATATTTTACACAACTGTATTTATTTATTCATTATTTGTTTTAATTTTTTTCTGTTACTTCTGCATTATATTTTCCTGCATGCTTTCACACAAGTATCATGGCTTTGAGACTAATATTCCTGGTGTTAACTGTTATCTTATATGCCCATTAATCAGGCTTTTTGCAGCTCATCGCTCTTCGAGCGCCTCAGTTTGCATTGAATGCCATCATGTTAAGCTCCTGAAATGTCTGCCTCCCAACCATTTGTTTGGCAGGCCCTGGAAATGAATAACAAACGCTGGCACCACACTGCCAATTTTAAACTCTCTCACATATTTGTTATGCCTTATCAAAAGTACATTATATTATGAGTTCTCTAAAGATTGTCAAACTGTATCCTTCATTTTGAAGCTATCCTTCCACATTAATTCACTTTGTTTGGCCATCTTTAGCTGGGGTGCCTTCGCTTATATTCTCCAATGGGAGAGACTTGCTGATTGCTGATGTCCACGGACACAGTACTCAAACCCTGGTCGAGTCCCAGAACAGAGGAGTTGCTGTTGGTGTGGACTTTCATTACCAGCTGCAAAGGGTCTTTTGGACCGACACAATCCAAAATAAGGTAAATGGTCTACAGACTAACAACAGCAGTTTTTTTGAAGTTGCATATAGTCCCTAAAAATAGCACTAGGGCTGGCATTTATAAAGTAAAGACATTTATAATGTTACAGAAGATTTCTATTTCAAATAAATGCTGCTCTTTTGAACTTTCCATTCAACAAAAAATCCTGAAAAATAAAATATATCACGGTTTCCACAAAAATATGAAGCAGCACAACTGTTTCCAACATTGGTAGTAATAAGAAATGTTTCTCGAGCAGCAAATCAGCATATTAGAATGATTTCTGAAGGATCATGTGACACTGAAGACTGGAGTAATGATGCTGAAAATTCAGCTTTGATCACAGGAATAAATTACATTTTACAATATAATCAAATAGAAAACAGTTATTTTAAATTTCAATAATATTTCACATTATAACTGACCTTACTGTATTTTTTTTAAACGAGACATCTTTTAAAAATGTTTTTCTAAATCTTACCGACCCCAAACTTTTAAATAGTGTATCTCAATATTTTTCTGTCTTTTTGACACTATTTATGTATTTGCATTGTTTTTTTTGCATTTTTTTTTGTAAAATTCAGTCATTTCCATCGAACAGCCTTTGTATCCTAGATGTTTAATGCAAGTTAAATACAGTTAACATCTAGTTAATTAATCACAATATTGATCATAATGTGTGTATATATATATATATATATATATATATATATATATATATAGTCCAGTCCTAATGGACTTAGAGCACAGTTTACTCTATTTCATTGCTTGGTGTGTGGCATTAATATTTCCCACTTACATTCATTTAATGCTCTGGCACCTGCCATGGGTTCTCAGTTTTCCTGAATTTAATAAGTGGCATTTCACAGATTACTGAAGTTCTAACCTTGTCAGGACGAGTGATATCGATGTTACATTTGTTGTTGATAACAAAGCTCTGCATTATACCAGCTCTTCCTCCTTCAACACAGACACACACACACACACACACACACACACAC